CTTCCAAAAAATCTACACAGCCCACCACTCGACTAGTTCAGATTTCTACTCAAATGTCACTTTGTGAACAAAGTCTTCTCTGACCATCCTGTGGAAGTTGAATCGTCAGACTATTGTCACTCTCCACACCCTTGCCCTGCTGCCTTTGGTCCTTCACAGCACCTACTGCACCTCATGTACCATTTACATGTTAGTCTTTCTCCACCAGTATGGAAGTCCCACCGAAGAAAACATTTCTCCTCTCTACTTTCTGCTGTGTCTCCAGCACATACCAAGGTACTGGGCACATAGCAAATGCTCAATAAACATTTGTTAAAACAAAAGGCAGGGAGGGAGAGACAGAAGACTCAAGAGGCAAATGGTAAAAAATAATCACAAGTATTAAATATATTTTTTGCTAATAAGATTCATAGAGTGCTTACCATTTTTGGAGAACTTGACATGCCCTTTATCTATATCTAGGTAACATCCAATAGTATCGTGCATAGTGAATTCCTAGAAAATAAGAAAATCTAGTGCTATTAACAGAAAGCAAAATCTTAAAGTTAAAAGTTCAAATAGTTACTCCAATAGCATGCATTAGTTTCAAAATATTAGGTCATCGGGAAAGTCATGCCGTATTTTTCTGTTTTTGTATGCAAAAATGCATTACAACTTTCCCAAAGAAACAACAGGTTCCTTGAGGAGTTAATGCAGGTGTTAAATATACTACAGTGCATAATATATACAACGGTAGAAGCATCTTATAATCAATATAATACTTTGGCTCATTACATTACTAGATTTGGGTTCACCAGAACAACTACATTTAGATTCACCACAATCGAAAATTTAAAATAAGAATAATAGTTTTATTAAAGCCAAAGCCAAAATTGAACCAGAGGATAAAGAAAAGGCAATATAATACATTTTGGAGGTGTTAACAGTGGCATAGGACAACAAAGACAACTATTACATATTTATCTAGTTTTATAGTAGTTTTCACTGTCGTCCAAATCTAAACTTTCTGTGCAAAATATACAGAAAATCCACTTGATTTTCAGGATCATTTCTATAACCTTAGTCATGTCATGAGTGATCCAGCATGAAAGAACACTTCTTAATGGTATGTTTCAGGCAGGTAAGTAATTGCTTACCTCTCCATAATTATCAAACTGTTTATTATGGGATTTTTTTCCTGTTCCACCAAAGCCAAATCCAAACTTGTCAGTACCTAGGTTTTAAAAATATTTTACTTATGTGATAAGAGTAATATGAAAACAAAACCCCTGTAAAAGATTTTATCTTCATCATATTATAGTATCTTTATTCAAGAAACCACAGGAAAATTTTCCCTTCAGTTTCTGAATCTTACAAACTGAAGATTTTAACCTATGGATACTGTGACAGGGTAGACAGAAACCACACACAATCTCTCTTTGCTTTAGCCACTAAGAAATTAGGATGCAGGGCTGGTAGATGGCGTAGTGGTTAAGGGTGCTGTACTCTCAAATGGTCGACTACGGTTCGAATCCTGGACCTGGTGGCTTGCTTTCTCGCTTTCTCTCTCTCTCTCTCTCTGTCCCTATCTGATCAAATCAAAATAAATAAATAAAGTTAAATAAGTCTTTAAAAAAAAGAAATTAGGATGCAAATTTACAATAACTGGAAGGACTATGTATCCATGTTCATGCAAATTAACTTTACCCTGTCACCATTCATATTCTTAACCTCGATTCCCAATTTCATTCTATTCTATTTTCTTTTAAGTTACTTTAGATCTTTTTTCGAACTGGCTAGGAAGATACTTCTGTGTCTCTAAAAATGTAACATTTTTTGGTTATTATGTTTCTTCAAATAATAAAATGTTAAGAACCCACAAACATGAATCAATTAATTCAGTTATTTTAGAAACACATACCTAGGTCTAAGGAGGCCTGCATGGTGGACCAGCCAACTCTGCATAATCCTTGGTCATGACAGGAAACTTCGTAGTAGTGTTTCCCTGTGAGAGCGAGTGACTTGAGATTTACAGGATTCATTCATCATAAGCCACCTTCCCACTGTTTCTAAACTATAATTTCTATACACCAAAGAACTGTAGGTCTTTCTGTACCATCAAAAATTCTTTTAGATCTTTGCTTTAAAGTTTTTTAAAAAAAGTTTGTATACTGATATACTGTCTCTAAAGTTTACAGAAGTACAGATGCCATTCAAATACCTTTCATTAATCCTTTAGTAGCTCTACACCCATGCCATTCCTTTACTTCTCTGCTTTGACAACAAAGGCCGTCTGACCCAATTGCTAGATTGGAGAAAAAACAAAGAGAATGTCAGTGGAGGTTTTTATAAATCATGCAATTAGAAATAAACATCATTCAGCTTCACTAATAAGATAATCCTTTCAATGTTCCAGAGACTGAGACTTGCTGATTCTTGAATGACAATAGCATTTTTCTTAAGAGTAATGAATCTTATTCATCCTCGGAATGTTTTTAGCTATGTGGTGGGCTAATTTCTACCCTGTCGTCTATGAACTAAGACGAGATTGTCCAGTAACAAGTGTAGCAAGGAATCAATATATCTCATAGTGTTCATTGGCTTTAAGCAAAGGTCTAGCTTTTCTCTGTACTATTATAGAAGCCCACCTATAAAGAATTTGTCTTTGTTCATGTTTGCAACTCATTTTTAGTACCTGAATGTCTCCCTATCCATCATACACATCTTACTTTACTTTTCAGAGATACAGTTAGTCAAAGTATAAACTCTTATTCATATCAATACTGAATAGATAAAGTTTTGAACTTTTTAAAAAACTCTCTAGCAGGCTGGCCACATAGTGCAGTAGTTAAGCGCTATGCATAGGAAGCCAGATCCTATATAGTCACCCATGGTTTGAGTTCTGACCCCAGAGCATGTGTGCATGCATGTCCCTAACCCTGACTGGATTTAGGAGACAAAGAGGAAGGGATAGTGAGAAAGCACCCCCAGGATTTGGGATGGCCACTGGGTGTGGATGTGTGTCTGTGGATGGGATGGCTGCAATCCCTTCTCCACTCTCATAGAATTTTAAATTTTGGCCTTGCACGCACACATGCCAAGCATGTTTTTCAGGCTGACAGGTCCAGAATTTGAACCGTGCAGATAGCTATGTGGGATCCAGATTCCTTAATTAACATGCTGGCCCAGTAACTGTAGTCTAACATCTGGTAAATTAATCTTCACTTGTTATGCTTTCCTGTAATTGTCTTGGTATTCTCACCTACTCTTAACAAAAATATTTCCAACTTACAAATGGGCTGGTAAAATCTATTCACTTACCAAAAGCAGATCCTCTATCATATGGGTTCATTTGCCATTTGTTGAGCACTAAACAAATGAAAATTACAAAAGTTACCCACAAACATGAAATTAAAAATGCTCTATAAAAACCATGCACAATTTTTTAAATATATTATACCCTAATTCCTGTAGATTCAGAATAGTTTTACCCTTATTTAGAATATACAAGTAAAACTGTTTTACTTAAATTGAAGAACAAAATATGTCGGAGATAATCATCACTGGCCTCTATGGGTCTAAAACGTTAATCACTTCATGCACTGTGTATCAGGTGACACTGATATTTGTCCTAACTCCTAGATAAGTGATAAAGTGAAGTTTAGATAACTAAATAAGTTAACTTCAATTGTAATGGAAACAATTTTAA